AAAAAAAAAAAAAAAAAATTTTTTTTTTTTTGGCACTGTTCCCTCAAAAAATAATAATAATAAGGTAGCTTATTATGACCAGGAAGCATTTCTTCGTGAAACCTTTTCTAAAATGATAATATTTGTAAATATTTTAACTAAATATGTAAACCATTAGACCAAAAGTCTGAATAGCATTCAGGAGAGTACTTTTCTTGCAGTTATCCTGAAAAAGCAGAACAGTGTTGGCATTTTATGAAACTCCTTTGTATGTCTAGACGTTCTTATTTGGGTTGAATAAATGTAATGTATTGAATCATTAAATTTTTTGAGCCGTTGTGGAGAATCAGTTGTCACTTACACTTTAATGTACCCTTCATAGACAGGGTATCTAAGCATCTGTAAAAAAACAGGCAAGTTGCTCAGGGTTTCCCAAAATAGATTCAAAGGATAGTTGACATTTGAAGAAATCATTTTCTCTTTAAAAACCGTAAGTGCTAAATTTTACTATTGTATCACATTAGATGTCCAAAGAAATCAGTTATTTCTAAGTCAGAACAACTTTGCTTATTTTTCTTTTGATTTTAGATGTAATGATAATCTAAACCATACTAAGCTTTCGTCCTTTCCTTCATGATTAACTTGAGAATCACTCAGATACTATTCCAAAAAGTCCAATATTAGCCCTCAGCAGAGAATATATAGTGTCCTTTTTCCAGTAACCAAAATTGGCTTGTCCTTTAATTCATTCCTCTTTTGGTTTTATTTCAGCGAGCTCTTGCTAAAACTGGAGCTGAATCTATCAGTTTGCTTGAGTTATGTCGAAACACAAACAGAAAGCAAGCTGCAGCAAAGTTCTACAGCTTCTTGGTTCTTAAAAAGCAGCAAGCTATTGAGCTAACACAGGAAGAACCATACAGCGACATCATCGCCACACCTGGACCAAGGTTCCATATTATATGAGGAGCTAGAAGCATTATAGCTAGTGTTCATTTCACTAGTGCGTACAACTTGCCCCCATGTGTAGGGCACACAGAACCTTTCAAGAAAATTTAGATGTTCGTCTGTACAAAGTCTTTGCCTTTTTCTTTCCTCATTTTTCCCAGCATTTTTAATGTATCGATTTCATCTTTAAGGGAAACTGATTATATGCGTTGTGTTCTGATGGAGAAAACAGCACCCCAAGGACTCAGAAGACTTATTTTAACAGTTCAGAACAGATGTGTGCAATATTGGTGCATGTAATAATGTTGAGTAGCAGTCAAAAGTCATGGTTTTTATCTTGTTCTCTGTTACTACATTGAAAAGAACCCGTCTGGGAAAAAAGCCTGACAGTTTAAGAGCTATGGGCTGAGTTTTTGACAGGGGAAAACACAATGTCTTTCCATCAGTAACAACAGCAAATATTTTTATTAACCACTGTATTTAGGGATGGTACCTGAAACATCAGAGGTAATCCTCTTAATAGTGTTTTAAGCTGTAATTCCATAATGAGCAAGGGTGTACGTGAAATTGTGTTGTGGCTGGCCCCCTTCAACTATAAAAAGATAGGACTGACTTGGTGTAAAGTGGTCTATTTTGTAAATCATTCCATTTGAGTCTTTCTGATGAACTTTGCTATCCTGAAATCTGTTATTTTAGTGAGGCTCCAAAATGAGCAGGAATAGGCTTAATTAGAGTAGAATGACTATTAAAAAACATTTATACCTTTCCAAGAGCTACAAATCAGAGTTCTAAAAGAAGTTTGGATGTATTTGAGTATTCAGATCATGAAAATAAAAATCACCTTGCCTACTAAAAGGACAGAGTGATGGGAAATTATACACCTGGTTGACTTAACCTTTAAGCAGACAATGCTGTAAAAACTAATGGCTTCTCTGATATTTATTATAAATTCTAATACTGATCTCTTTCCAATGCTGCACACTCCTGCGTGTTTGGAACTTTATTTTAATAGCTTTGCAACTGAAATCCTGTATCCAGTTTCCTGTAATTTAGTTGAAGAAAAATACAGCTCCAAATAAGGGTTTTATTATTAACAGACCAGATAGTACCAGAAATCATGTGACAATTATGATTGTCAAAACATGTCTTAACTTTTTAGGACAAAATTAACAATGAAAGTTCTAGCTTAAGTGTTGGCACTTTTGTGGGAAAAATCATTTTTAAAACTCAGAAATCAGTGTATACCCAGTAATTTTAAATTATGTGAAATGTTTTAAATTTGTGAACTCGTAATTACTGTTTTAATGATTCAGTTTCTTGAGAGTAATAATTGTATAAAATGCTGTTGCATCTTGATTTTCAATATGACGTGCCTGTAAACCATGGATCTCCTCCCTTTGTACAAAGACATTGTAGATAATTGAATGTTTGATTATAGAAAGGTCATTAGTTTCTTGTTACACATTTTGTTAGTCTGGTTTTTGTTGCTTATCGGGTTTAATATTCTTGAAAATAGTTGATGCTATGTTATGTATAACTTTTCTAATAAAAGTTGTGTTATAAGCTGTAAATTTTGGAGTATTGGTTATTCATTTGGTGGTGTTCACCAGGGGAAGTTAACTGAAAAAGTTAAAAACCACCTTTTATTTGCCTTATCTAGAATAATTATCCATACAAATAAATTTTTCAAAAGAAGTCTTAGAAAGGTAGCTTGTGTCTAACCTTTCTTAGTAGTGATCTGCAATTTTTAACAAGTGTATACGTTGTTATAATGTATATTCAGTTTAAAATGAAACTAACAGATGTCTGGTGGTGAGGAAGCTTTGGGGCATGGATATATCTTTGTCACTGCCAGGGAAATAAAAACCATGAAATGCCTGTGGTGTCCGTCCTTGGCTGTGAACAAACTGTGGGTGGGCAGGTGCTGGAGATCTAGATTGATCTGAGAAGCCAAGAAAGTCAGGGCATTTAATAACTTGACGTGTACCCACGCACCTTTGCCATCAAACATCTGACTGTCCTGCCCCTAACTGCAAGCTTTAAGGCACTTACGATTTTATGGTTTAAGTCCTGATGTATCTTAAACATAAATAGTTTGATGATGTTTATAATAGGAAAACCACTTCTTAATAAGCACGAATTATCTTCAAACCCAAAGCAGCTTTAATTTGGGTCCCACTGTTGTAGAAATGAGTACTAAAGAATTATAATTGATGTGAAAGTGCCTAGAATACAGCATGCCAAAATACCTGGAGAAAGGCCAGATTAAAAAAGATTCTCGGTTATTAAAACTCTTGCTAAGATTCACAACATGGCTCACATAATAAAGTGAAGTGGTGTTTACATAGAGCAGAACCCTGAGTGTTTGACATGGAACTTAAAGGCCTAGGTGGAGACTGACAAGAGTTACCAGAGTGACACAGTGGAAAGAGTGAGGCCATGGCAGAGACCCAGGCGCTAACCTTAATTTGTGGTGCCTAAAATTTGAAAAGTGTCATTCTCTGGGTCTACATCTAAAACGAAATGAATATCAAATCCTACAAAGAGTTGCAAAAACCCTTTGAACTAATTAAAAGCATTTTGAAAGGCAGCTAACATTTGTATGATAGAGATAACATTGGCTTTGGAACGGGCCACTTAGAATGGGCCACTTAGGTGTGTGTGCTCGGGCAAGGCTTTTAAACTTTCTAACCCCAGGTACTTTACGTGAAGTGGACATCTCCACGTACAGGGACCCCTGAAATAATTGTACTTGACTCATTTAGACCTCCCTAATGCTGCTTCATCTCGGTGAGTGACTCCACCTTCCATAGGCTCACTGTCTAGTGACAGTGTTTCAAATTTTCTTGTGCACACTACTATTTAAGACTCTTGGGGAGCTTGCTCCCATTCACTCATTCAAAAGGTACTTAGTGCTCTCAACATAGTTCTCAAAACGTTAATGCTTATACAGACAGCACATACCAAAATTCTAGTTTGCCCTTCAGACAGGGTCTTGCTATATTGCCATACTTGAGTTTAGTGGCTGTTTACAGTGTCATGCTGCACTGTAGCCTTGAACCCCTAGGCTAAAGCAGTCCTCCAGCCTCAACCTCCCAAGTAGCTGAAGATGAAGTTCAAAAAGAATTGAAGAAATGGGATTTTTCTTGTGCTGTGATAAGGGGAGTGCTATACAAAATCTCTGGTTTAAATACAAAACTGGCTAAAGTCAGGGTGATGAAAACAGAAAACTGAGTTAAAAGACATTTGAGACTTAAACAATTGTGAGCCTCATGTTTAAGTTACAGTCCTTAAGCACTCTCTAATATGAACCACATACGTAATTCTAAATTTTCTAGTAGTCCAATGAAGAAAAATAGAGCCTGGCCGGGCATGACGTACAGGAGTATGGATAGCTCCTGTAATCCTAGCGCTCTGGGAAGTGGAGGCAGGTGGATTGCCTGAGCTCAGGAGTTGGAGACCAGACTGAGGTATAGTGAGACCCTGTCTCTAAAAAATGGCTGGGTGTTGTGACAGGCACCTATAGTGCCGGCTACTTAGGAAGGTAAGGCAAGAGGATGGCTACAGCCCAAGAGACTGAGGTTGCTGTAAGCTATGATGCCATGGCACTCTACCGAGGGCAACAAAATAAGACTTGTCTCCAAAGAAAAAAAAACAGAGCTCATCTGAAATTAACATATTTAATAGATCCAAAGTATTACTTCAAAACGTAATAAATATTTTTAAAACTTACCAGATATTTTCTTGGGGGGAGGATGTTCAAAATCTGGCATGTACCATACATTTTACAACTTTGCCTTAAATGAGCCTAGCAGAATTTCGAAAGTTCAATAGCCACATGTGACTTGTGCTTCCTATATCAAACAGCACAATTCTAGCATGATATTAAAAGATTACATAAGCTAAACCTAGGCATGGTGCTTAGATTCCATGAGTGTACCCAAAAAACAAAATTCTCTGGGGCAGCGCCTGTAGCTCAAAGGAGTAGGGCACCGGCCCCATATGCTGAAGGTGGTGGGTTTGAACCCAACTCCGGCCAAAAAAAAAAAAAAAAAAAAAAAATTCTCTGCCTTTATAGAACTTACATTCTAGCCTTGAGACAAATAATGAACAACAAATAAGTTAAAATGTAAAATGTTAGGATAGGTTGCCGTATTAATAGGGTGGTGAGAAGAGGCTTGTTGAAAAGATGATGGCTGAGCGAAGACTTACAGGAGGTAAGAGACAAGAGGAATGTGTAGGGGAAGAAGGATTCAGAGAGAAGGACCTGTTAGAACGAAAGATCAGAGGCCTAAGTGTGCTTGTCCTGTTCCAATAAAGCAAGACCAGAATGGCTGGAACAAAATGAGGGAGGGGGATGGTCTTGAGATAAGGTGGGAGGTGCAAGAAACCAGATCATGTCCAGCAGGACTTACTAGATTTGCTGCCTATTGCGGTCCCCCTCGGAGTCAAAAAGTGATGTCTGGGCCCCACTCCCTGTGAAACATCCCTCAGGCTTCCTTTTTTTTTTTTTTTCTTTTCTGAGACAATCTCACTTTGTCCCCCTTGATAGAGTGCTGTGTCATCACAGCTCTCAGCAACTTCAAACTCCTGGGCTTAAGCAATTAATTCTCTTGCCTCAGCCTCCCAGTAGCTGGGACTACAGGTGCCCGCTACAATGCCTGGCTATTTTTTGTTGCAGTAGTCATTGTTGTTTTAGGTGGCCCAGGCCAGATTTGAACCCACCAGGCTCCATGTATGTTGCTGGCACTATAACCACTCTAACCACTGTGCTATAGGCGCTGAGCCCCCTCTGGCTTCTTACTGCCTGTTGAGCACATGATAGTTGAATGAATGGAAGCAAGTTACACAGTATTGCAGCATCTGTGGCCACAACCTGAGTAAAACTAATCGTTCTGAAAAATGTTACTTTGTGGTTGGGAGTAATTCCTGATGGGCTGCCACTGGTGCCTGAATTAAAGAAATACAGGTCAAAAAGAAGGAGGACTGGAATCTGCAGTGAAGGACCAGGCTTTGAAGCTTCACTGCCTTTTACTATCAGAGTAGCCTTGGGATTCAGTTTCCCCTACTACAAAACTATTGGTGCCAAACTTAGAGTCTTATGACGATTACATGGAATAAGGAATTCATGTAAAGTGCTAAAACAGTGCCCACTCAGTAAACGGTGGCTATTATTAATGTTTAAAGTGAATGATTCATAATAGAAAAATGGACTTTTGGGAACATGAATTTGACAAAGTGAGATGTTAAATAGGAGAGTGGAGAGGCTAAGGGTTGTAAATACTGGGAACTCTCAATAAGATGCTGGAAAGAACTCACTCTGAGCACCCCCACCTCCCCCCTGCCGGCAGTGCCCTTTGTCGCCAGGGTAGCCAGCTACAACCTACTCACCTTTCAGGTCTCAGCCAAAGGGTAAATTCCTCAAGTAAAATGCTGCACACCCCAGGCCATACAAGTCAGGTTTGCTGAGTAAATGTTCCTGTAGCTCCCCAAAATGAAATGAACAACAGACTATTAGAGTTAATTGGCAACACTTTCCCGCCATTTTAGAAAGGAATTGCAGGATTGAAGGATCTCTTTCCAAATGATTATATAGCTAAATAAATGGAAAATAATCACAAATTCTTAGAAGTCAAGAGTCTTTCATTTGTCACCTGGGAGAAAATCCTGGTGGCTCAAAGGCAAGTTGAACATTCATCCACACCACCTAGGAACACAGTGTGTGTTAAGTTTCTAAAGTGGTGTGACCCCCTGCCCCCCGGTTAATGTAATGCAGTCCACTAAGTAGCATTACACATGACTCCTCTCATAGCATCATGTCCTTTTAAACCATGTTAAAAAAGGAGGGCAGGGTGGGATATCAAATTAGGCCTCCTGGTAGGAAGATCACTGATTTCCAATCAGACCTACCGGGATTTAAAACCCAGCTTGTCTCTCATTACTGAGTGTGCCCTGGGCAAATCTTACTACCTCCCTGAAACTGTTTCCTCACCTATAAAACTGGGAAGCAGTACCTACCACGGGTTTGTGAGGACAGAGTGAAAATACTGGATGAAAGCAACACGTGTGAGGCGGGCCAGGCCAACCAACGGCTCCGCAAGTAGTAAGAAGGATCATTGCCTCCCTCTAATCTTTCTCTTTTTCCACTAAATTCACAATATCAGAACAAGAAAATGATATCTAAGTCCTGTAAGAATATTTTAAAAATTCATCTCTTTGGCTCTGCACCTGTGGCTCAAGTGGCTAAGGCGCCAGCCACATACACCTGAGCTGGCAGGTTCGAATCCAGCCCGGGCCCACCAAACAACAATCACGGCTGCAACCAAAAAAAGTAGTTGGGCGTTGTGGTGAGCGCCTGTAGTCCCAGCTACTTGGGAAGCGGAGATAGGAGACTCGCTTGAGCCCAGGAGTTGAAAGTTGCTGTGAGTTATGATGCCATGGCATCTACCCAGGGTAACAGCTTGAGGCTCTATCTCACACACACAAAAAATTAATCTCTTCTAAAAACTGAAAGCCAAGAGTCATAGGCAGTGAAGCAGCTGTGTTCTTCCAGGAGAGGAGGTCTGGCCTG